ACCGGTCACCGCAGCTGCAGAGGACCCTAGCAGCAATGCTGGCTCAGTGGGGGACCAGATAGAAAGCGATCCTGCCATGTCAGCCAGGCACGGGGTGCAGTAGTCTCAGCCCCTAATCCTAAATAGTCACGCCTCCAGAATCCTAAATTGGCTTTTGACAATTTAAGTCTCTTACTGCTCCCAGCCATGTTTGCATCTTACTTCTGGAGAATTGCACCAGAGGGCTTTGTGTCTAGAGGGTAGAAGACTTGCTGTTTTTGGCAGCTGCTCCCTGCTCTGAAGATGACTACAGGGCAGGTTGGGGTGGAGAAGGGAATGAGAGACCAGGATCCAGAACTCACACCCTGCTGACTTTCCTCTTGAAATTGTGGAAGTGTAAGGAGCAAGTGGTACAAAAAGAAGGGGAGGATCTAGATGAGTTCATATCCGTTTTTCCATTCTTGCACTTCGTTTGGAACAGATGTGCTTCTGCCCTACCAGTTTCAAAGCCATCATTCATATGCAAGTGTGCCAAGAGATATAAGTGTCTAGTAATGCTAGTAACTTGGTATGGCTAAATTTGTGTCAGCAATTAGCTTCCGTAATAGGTTTTCCTGTGTGTGTAATCTCTTGTGTGATTTATGTTCCCTGTATTCATTTAGTCTGCACAGAAGCCTGGCCTGGCTTTGCAAGTCTTAGTCTCTGCGTGTGCTGCCTTATTTCATGCTGGTGCTGGAATCATCCTGCAGCAGCACAGGTCTTGCTGCAGCTCCGAGGTATAGCTGAGGTGGTGATTGCGGGTTTTCTGTTCTTGCTTGATGGTCTTGCTTTTCATGTTGGGTGGCATGTGGCAGGTTCCCTCTGTTAATTAGAACAAATGTGCCAATTATGTTAATGTATCTCCCGATACCAATCAGCGAATAATTAGAGACAACGCATCTGTCTCTCACTGGGGAGTGGGATGACAGAAAAGATGCTACAAGGTGTGTTGCTCTAAATTACAGCCGCCTTGGATTGTGCACTTCCTCAGCTGGTGGCAGGGGCAGCTCAGTCTCATGGCAGGCTTGCCAGCCATTAGCAGCACTGGACATGCAGACCCAGCACAGCTGGCAGGAGCCGTGTGCCTCACTGCTCTGCAAATTGCCTCCAGAGCACTAAGGAGCTCTGACCGAAAGGCATCTGACTTCAGATGCACTCCAGCTTCTCAGCATCTACAGTTGCTGTGATTCAGGGTTTCATTTACCACACTCACACCTTTACAGAGAGGCCTTCTTTTCCTAGTCAGTTTGCAAACATAAAGGAAAAATACCTTCTTGAGTGGAAAACTAAAAAAAGATATGGGGATTTCACGTCTGCTTTGTTCTTGGGATGGATATGTAAGAAAAAAGTTGCACGTTGTAATTATCCATAGCTGTCATCTCCATGCAACTTACCCCATCCTACGTGCCAGTAGTTGCCAATTAAATGATTTCTGTTATTATAAGGAAAAACTTGTGACCAGGCTTTTTCTACATAGATGCCCAACCATTTATATGTTTATTTATAACAGTTGGAGGGATGTGCCTGATTTAATTGAATAAATAGAGCTGGGTATCTGTTCAAGAATCTCTGTGACTATAGCCAGTAAATACACATCCTCGATATTTAGGCAAAAGCAAACATCTACTTTAGAAATGTCTTCTCCATAGAGTTTAAAAATGGACCCATGAGGGTGTGATTTGATATGATCCTGAAGACAGGTATCCTGATGCAGTTTGTAATGCCCTTGGGTATCCTGCTGCCCCTCTGGTTGCTTGGCCAGAAAGGTGCAGATCTCTGACACAGACGTGCCTGGTGCCTCACCTGCCAGCTTTGTTGTGAGCATGGTGGTTTTCCCAGGGCACCAGTCACTGTTATTCATGCAGCAGAATTAAATTCAGGATAAGTTTCAGCATTGACTGGATTAACAGCCTCCTTCAAGTGAGGGGGCTGTGCCTTAGGGAATGACAAGGCATCAAAAGAGATCATTGCTTTTAACTTCTGTAATAACAGTTTGCATACTTGTCATTCATAAATCACACTGTCTCCTTCTGCATTGTTCTCTTCTCTTTTGTATTTGATGTCTGATCTCTTCCTGCTTACATGACAGAACAACCCTGCTCCCACCTATTCTGGCTACCTCAAAAAATAAACCTGAAGTTCAGAGGTGCTAAGCACTGTGGTCACCTGCACCAGAAAAAAAAAAAAAAGAGGCTAAAGACCTAAAATAAGTTACCAACAAAAGTCTCATTTGCATGTTGTAGTGCGTTTAACTAGTTACCATTTCTGCACTGACTGAGGGAGAAAACACAATCACTGGGGAGGTGTGCTCTTTTTTGTGTTCCTCTGTTGATGGCTAAAACGTGTATGACAGGAGAATCCTGCCTCTTGTCAAATCATCCATCAGTTCCTCCCTTCAGATTTGATGACGTTATCATTTGCAACATGAACAGACTCGTGATGTCATAAAAACCTGGATGCCAGAAGAAGATTGAAGTACATGTATTTAAGAGGCATCTTGTAAAAGAGATGGGGTTTAGACAAGTACAGATGTACTGGCAGAACAGATTTTTCAGAAAATAAGACATCCTGTTGTTCTGCAAACTTAATGTTTTGTTGTTAGCAAAGTCAGTGAGCCAGTAGGTGAAAAGGATCTTTTTCCTAAGAGATTTGGTGAAGAGCCAAAGGCAGTATGCTGAATTATACAAAATATCTTAGGGTTTTTTCTGATATTTGCAACTGCTGTTTTCATATAATCTTCAGTGTTCTTGCAGGGATGACAGGGAATTTAGTGTTCATAGCTTTAATCTTGCCTAATCAGCTGAGACCCAGACTGAACATGCATGTATTTGGTTTTGTGGAGAAAGTGTTTCAGAGTACTGGAAAAAGACAACCTTGTCCTTGAGCATGCAGCCTTGCATAGGGCTGAGGGATCCTAGAGTATATGCTTGGATGGGCATACCAAAAACATTTTGGTAGACCACGTAGACTGTAGTCCTGTCCTCACTGATGTCCTGATATTCTCCATGTGCAGAGCACAGGAAAAGCACTGGTGAATTTGTATGGCTAACATACACAGCTGTGACAGTGCACGTAGCATCTTTTAGACTCCTGACACAAGTCTGTATTCCATCCAAGATCTAAATAATAGTATTCAAACCCAAGAAAGACATTTTGGTTGTGTGAGAGGCAGAGGTTAAGTTATAGCTTACCACTGGTGGAGAGGTAAGCTCCTATCTTGTTTTTCAGACTGGGATGCATGCAGACTTGACTTGCAGTTGAAGGAGCTAAATATTGTCATTGACAGAACAGTAATCTGTCTGTCTTGATTATATCCGATACCTACTAGGATTCAAGAAAGAAGGAAGGGTAATTTTAGTCATCCTGGCAAGGAAGACCAGGCTATTGACTAAGCTTGTATTTTCCATGGTAAAACATGTCTGTACGAGCAGAAACATAGCCTCCAAAGTTTTGTCTTTTTTCTTCTTTCCCTGTTCCTTGAGACACACATATCCATTTCTACTGTGTCTTTTGCACCACTGATTTTAATCTATACAGTATCAATAGTTGTGAGGCTACCACATACTGCAGTGATCTGCTGTGGGAGAGGAGGGTTTAAATCAAGCCTTCCTCAGGCCAGGAGCTTTACATTCACTAGGGTGTGTATCTTTGGAAGTAGCTCACACCTGATGCTCATCCACCCAAATCTGGTTAGGGGAGCGGGAGCTAAAGATGAGCTATAGACAATCTGAACCCAAGCTTACATCTGTCAGTGCCTGTCTTGCACCACTGGACTGGGATGAATTAACCCACTGTGTTTAACACCAGGAGAGGCTGTTGGTTTTCTCTCCACAACTTGGGGCGGTCTGTATGTCTGTTTTAGGTGGGGAGCAGGTTCCCTGTTGGTTTTGGGGTATGTCAATGCTTGTGCAGTTCCTCAAACGCCTTTGGTAAAGATGGGTTTAGTGAGAGCAGGTCTTGGCAGTTAGCACCTTGCAGGTCCAGGGGGTTGATTGTGTTTATGTTTTTCTTCCTTTAATTAAATCCTGGGCACAAGCCGAAGTGATCCAGTGACGCAGAGGCCCAGCTTTGATCCGTCCAGGGCCCCAGTCCTGTCTTTCAGAGCATACTCGGTGCAAATGAAAACAAGCTACTAGAGTTGCAGCCAAGTTATATTAGAGTGGCTTGCAGCAGTCAGCTGGGATTTAATAGGCTGTTTCTTTAGGAAGGCAATAAAGAGAACATTGTCTAGGTTAAAAATCACATATGAAAATATTTTTCTGTGTAACCAAGGAAATTACACTTTATTAAAGTAAAATACAGCTTACATCAAGGAAAGGGAAAAAGTAAGCATTGATGCAGTCTTTGTGATTCCCCTTTTCCTTGGTAACTGTCTCTATTTTGTTTAATCTTGATTGCAGCAAAACAATAACATACATGTACATGTGAATTTAAAAACATTAGTGTGTTTGTGATTTACTGTGTTACTTAGGTGTTATTGTGACCTACTGCAGTATAGGGCCTCATTGTGTTAGACCCAGGGCAGGTGCATGCAAGGTTACTGCATTATTAACTGCCTAATTAAACAAATCGCACAAAAGAATGGGTGAGCTCTCTGCTGGTTTAACGCTTCTGATGTTGTAAGGGAATTTTCTATTTGTAGGTACAGTCCTAAGATACCTCCCCCTCCTTATCCCTTGCCTCAGATTATGAAAGCATAGATCAGCTATTTGTCTCTGCACAGTAGCTGGCAGCCTTTGGAAATGCATTGATATTTTCAAGATAAGGTGAGACAGCTGTTGTGCTGATGGTGCGTGAAGGGTGTTCTCCCACATTTCTGCCGTGGTGTTTTATTTCAGTTCTAAGCGTGCATCAGGTGAGTCCTTCATGATGTGCCTTGGCTCTTAGTGCTTTCTGGGGTGAGAAATCGCAGATTCTGTGGCCTTTGCAATGTGACCTGGTACTGACTCAGTGCCTCCACTCTGGTCCTTTGAAACCCCAAGGTGGAGTGGCTGAAGAATGAAGAGGTGATTGATCCCGTGGAAGACCGAAATTTTTACATCACCATTGATCACAACCTGATCATCAAGCAAGCCCGGCTTTCTGACACAGCCAATTACACTTGCGTTGCCAAAAACATTGTGGCCAAAAGGAAAAGCACCACAGCGACTGTGATTGTCTATGGTAAGTGATACCTTGTCTCACTGCCCATGGATGGACGTGCACTCAGAGTCAGAGGTGGGGAAGGAAGGGGATGCAGAATGCCTGTGTGCAGCTCCTACTGTGGTCAGTTTTCAGCCTGTGCTGCCTGTTGACTTGCACCCACATGCAGGGACTGCAGTCAGGGTTTATTACTGAAAACATGCAGAAGTGTCTAATGTTTTGGCTTAGTGACAGACAGTGGCATTAAAAAAGGAACAGACATCTACACAAACAGCCAGTGCCTCACTGAAGAGAAGGCACTTGTTCCCCTTGCCACAACACAACACATATCAGATGGATGCAACAAGGAGCCATTAGGGCAGTTCCTCCAGCATGAGCATCCAAGGCATTGCTTTCTGCCAACACATTAACACATTTCTTGTTCTTAGTGATGCTTTTCATAAGTAGGAGTAAAACTGAAGGAATTTTGCCCCTGCATCAGAGTACGTTTTGGTACTAGACACCAAAAATAAGTTTAGTTAATGAGATATAAATAGATGGAAGATTCTGGTGAGCTCTGACACTCTTACCAACATTTGGAAGCACAAAATAGCAAAGCAGTCTGAGACTGCAGTTTATAAGCTGCAGTCAACACAACCTAGCTTAAAATAACCATCATGGGAATAGAAAGCATGGGATAACATTATTCTGTGTCTGCATCCATGGTCATGGTATAATACTGAGGCTGACCATGCTTTGGCTGTGGAGGGGCTGGATGAGATGCCCTTCTGGGGACTCTTCCAGCCTATGTTTCACTGCAGCTCTGCCCCACTAGTCCTCCAGACTTTGCCCCTGCAGAGTTACTGCCCCGATGCATCCCAGGCAGGGGTATCCACCAAAACAAAACCCTGCTCCAATGGTGTGCCAGCTGACTGTCCTGGTGTTCTTTACAATCAGCTTAATTATAGGATAGACAAGTAGGAAAAAAAAATCCCTATGATTATCCCTAATATTCATTTCATATTCAGGGTAGCAGTTAGATTTAATTGTAAGCAGTTGCTTCCCTGAAGTTACAATGAGGGCCTTTTAGCTCAGTTTTTATAGAAAACTGACTGAATTGAGTTGATTAGCAGTGTTTGTGATATTGAGGGGTGGACCATGCAAGAGCGCTGTGTTTTGTAACTGCAATGAATGCAGAAGATGTAGGCAACTCTTCCTCATACATATACAGCATGTTTTTCAACAGTGCTGTCAAGAGACATATACAGGAGTGCAGCCATATTTATGGGTTTTGCTACCAGAGGTGCCTAACAGGTGTGTCATATCACAAACATTTGGGTTTAGGGAAAGCTGTTAGTATGTTATCCATACCCTGACAATGACATTATTACATAGAGCAGCACAGCTCCTTCTTCATCCATCTATCTCAGAAACTGAGGCAGATGAAAAAAGAGAGTCAGCACGAATGTATTCCCAGATACATATCTTCCCAAAGAGATGCATATCTTCCAAAAGTCCGATAATGAAAATGCCTTTAGTGTGAGATCATTCTGATTAGCTTAAATATCTGCTATGGAAGTGCTGCCACATTCACATGCAGCAGCTAGGTCCACAGAGGGGTGAGTGAAGTTGTCCTTGTATCCTGGAATTCCCTTTTGGAAAGAAAGGAAAGAAAATTATCTATTTCTAATCAAAGCATAGGGGTCTTTCAGCATGTATAGATGATGGGTACATCCGAGAACAATCTGGAGTGCAGATTATCTCCATTTGGAAAATGGTGCAGCTTTCAGAGCACAGGTTTCTGGCTAGCAGAGCTGTGAGTGTTCTCTGAACCTGCAGGTATTTTGGCTGTACACATGCTACCAGGTGCTTAATGCTTGGTCAGTTTGGTTTTCAGAAGGCAGGTCACCCACCAGCCCTAGTAGTCATGAAATGGTGTTTGTTTTTCATTCAGCATCAGCATTTCTTCAACTGTACAATGACTTCTGGCATGTTGTGCATTTGATACATTGGAGACGTGTTTGTGTCACTTCAGGGTTGCTTCTCATGCTCTTCCTAGCCATCACTCGTGACTGCTGTTGGAGGCAGCATGACACAGAGCCGGAGATACCTTTGGGCTGACAGGATGGCTTTCTTATGTGGTCATACTCTTTCTGTCTTGCTTTTCAGTCAACGGAGGCTGGTCTACCTGGACTGAGTGGTCAGTGTGTAACAGCCGATGTGGGAGGGGCTTTCAGAAGCGCACAAGGACCTGCACCAATCCTGCCCCACTCAACGGTGGTGCCTTCTGCGAGGGACAAAGTGTTCAGAAAATAGCTTGCACCACTCTCTGCCCAGGTTCAGTATGAAGAGTACACAGCCTAGATGATTAGTTTGCCTGTCACCAGTCATTTGAGGAGAACACTCAGTTACAAAAGCCTCCTTCTTTTTATTAATAAATCCAACATTTCAGTGATCGAATATGAAAATGTATTATGTAAGTAGATAAAATAGGAAGCACATTAGATCAAGCAGCAAGGGATTCAGCCCTGCTTTTGCATGCAGCTTGCACCGGTGTCTCAGCCCTGACAATTCAGGGGATTTGGGGAACATGCAGAGCTTCAAATTGTAGGAGATAAAGGTTGAAGGCTCTGGAAGAGGACTGGAATTTGAATATAGAAAGCAACTGTGGTGTAAATATATTTGCAATGTCCAGTTCAGCTGTCAGAGCAAGTGAAGCATCTGGGGCATGGATGTTAAAATTGAGGCACATGCTTGCCTGAGTTCAAAGGAGAAAGTTTTTATACTGGAAATAGATGTGTATTCATACCTTTAAAAGGTATTTAAATTTCTGAAAAAAATGTGAAATTGCTTCAGGACATGCAAGGTACTTGTTAGCTCTTCTGTGACAAAGTTCTGCCGTCTGTCCTATTGTCCAGTGCTTTCCTACCTCTGCAGTCCCACTCAGATCAATGGCAGTAAGGTAGTCTTCAGCTTGTGAAGCTTAGCCATCCAACTCTGGGTCTTAGTGGTGGGTGGAACTTGAAGAGCTGAAATTTAATCTCTGTTCACTCTTCCAAGTGACAGACTAGAACAATTTCATAGATTATTCTTCAGATGTTCGGTTTCATGCTTTTTTAAATCATTTATGGGATTTTAAAAGGCACTAAACACATTCCTGATTTGGCTCATGTGAAATAGATCAGTGCCTCTAGGTATTTCCCTTAATAGAAAATATTAAACATTACGTATCTTCTTACTAAAGAAGAATTTCTGGCTAAGTTTAACTTTAGCCTCTGTGGTGAGAAATGCAAAAAAAAAGTTAAAATCAGAGATTCTCAGCTTGTTGCATATTTTCTTACACACTTCGAGCACAGATAAACTGCTGACAAGTTTATAAAAAAGGGAGGAAAGAGCAGAAATGAGGCTGGGACAGAGAGAAAGGAGAGAGAGAGTGAACTTGCATTTGTGGGCCAGAAACAGAACTTTAAGAAGAGCAGACTGGCTCTTTTTAAGAAGAGCAAACTGATGATACTTCTGCCTTGCAGGGAATGGCCAGTGGTTACAGGCTTGCTTGTGCTGATACATGCATTGTTCATGCTTGGTCTCACTTTATGTACCACCTAACAAGTCATGTCACTTCCTTGTTGCAGTGGATGGCAAGTGGACGTCGTGGAGCAAGTGGTCCACCTGTGGCACAGAATGCACCCACTGGCGCCGGAGGGAGTGCACGGCCCCAGCACCCAAGAACGGAGGGAAGGACTGCGAGGGGCTGGTACTACAGTCCAAGAACTGCACCAATGGGCTCTGCATGCAGGGTAAGTGCTGCTGTGATGCCTCTGGTGTCTGGGGTGTATGTGGCCACAGAAAAACCCTGCAACAGCCACAGGTCAGCATCAGTGACCTAAAGTCACAGAACCATTTGTAGAATGGAGAAATGAGTTAATCCAGTTCTCACCAGGCTGGACACCCCATTCTTCTTCCTTGAAGATGAACATAACGCTCTCTGAGATTATCGTGTTGAGCCATGAAGAATTAGAAAGGCTCGTAATAGAGTCCTCACCCCCCTGCCCTCCCCATCAAACATCCCTCCTCTCTAATACTAGCTCAGCATCTGTCCAGGGAAGATTGGCAGTGAATCTTACCGCAATACAAATGAAAAGTAAAGGCTGTAGGGCAAAGCCAGCATTTTCAAAAGAGTAAACATGGCAAAGCAGATCAGCGTGTGGCTTCTTCCTGTCAGGAATGGTGGTTGCATGTATTTCTACAGGTAATAGTTATGCCCCTTATTGAATTTCAGGTGCCCTGTAGTAGAAAGAGGTACCCTGTACCTGTGCAGTGCCTATGCAAACTTTATATATAGTTATGAGCATGCTGGAGCCTCATGGAGATCATCTCTAGCACTGAAATCTATTCTGCCTGCCCCTGTTCATGCCGTGGTCCTGTTTTTGTGGCTAATAAGAGCGAGAAGTAAAGCAAAGCAGGCTTCAGCGGGATTCTGACATATGCTGACGAATAATTAGTCTTCTCTGCACCCCATCCCTTCTCAAAAATGAGGTCTTCTGTGTTCTGCTGGTGCATTGAATCTTCCTTTCACATTTTGTTAGCACAATAACCTGGGTCAAATTCCTCATATAGACCTCTCCACTGTTGCTACATCCTGCCTCTCAGCAGTACTTCTCTGACGAGCCTCAGCTCTCTGTTGCCCCAGGAGTTGTGGCTGAAACTATTGGATATCTCTTTGTCCTGATCATAAAATTCTTTGAGCTCTCTCATGAAAAAGTAGTCAGGAATTTTTATTCTCTGAGGAAAGTTAGTTTTGACTGAAATATTCACAATGACAAAAAAGCAACACTATCAGTTAATAAATAGGTCTACTTCTTGAATTAGTGCCATGTAGGTGGCTACTGTGCTGGCAGCAATCTCTGAGCTACACTATGGCACAGCATGGTCTTTTCTCCGATGTATTTACAAAATGGGCTTCTTCAGTGTGGCTCACACAAACACTTTCATTACATCAAAAACTCTTAGTCAATGTCAGGAGCCTATAAAGCTATAATTCCTCGAAGCATTTGTTTTTGTGGGGAGCACAGAAAGGTGAGATTCAGAGCTCTACTCTTTTTCTTTTCTAAAGATAGGAAAAAAATTAATCCACATCTTAGTGTATAACACCTTGGTGACTTTTTTCATGGGGAAGCTAACGTACCCCTAACTCCCGCAGTGTGAATAAGTCATTATGGTAAATTAGGAAGAAAAGATACATTTCCTCATCAGAAGAGCTCTTCACTATCAGATTATATTTAGACAGGTGTATGTCATCTTTGTGTATGTGCATAAGGAGAGCCATTTAAGCAGAAATCTTGTGGAAAAGTAGATATAATGGTACGATAGAATAAAAGCCCTGTAGGGATCTATCTCATTTATCCGTCAATGGTATATTGCATTTTATTTGTGAAAGTGGATGCTGAGTATAAAGCAGAGGTCTTTAGCAGGAGAGAGGATGAGGCTGTTGTGAATCCTATTCTGCTTCATATATATGTATATATAAAATGCTAATAAAAATATACAGTCACATATTGACCTCCTTGGCTCCAGGGGCTGTGATAATCCTTCAGTGCTGGAATTTAATGGCAGTGTTTTAATGGTGTCTTTATACTTGTGGGGTTTCATATACCTGCTCCCTGATCCATCACTGCTAAGAAGATTGATTTGCTGTACTTTGTGGCAGTGTGCCTGCTGCTCGCTTTATTCCTCCCTTTTTCTTTAATTCCCCTTCTCAGTTTATGCAAAACCAGTCCGAACACTTACATTTTTGCCAGTGTGGATCTAGAGTCACAGAAAATCTCCTGCTAGAATCTGCTGAGCTAGAAAGAAACACAGGACTCCTTTCATTCCTAAAACACCATGCCTCTTTCCACATTATTTGAGGCTGGTGGGGACCAGCTTAGAACTGGCATTTCTCCTAGCCTAGAGACCTTTGGATCCACAGCAGAATTTTTCCAGTGCCTTTATGCCAGTGGGTCTGGTATGGCACAGGTGGCATGGAGGGAGCTGCAGCCACCTTTCCTCTGTAGCCATAGCCCTCTGGGAGCTGCATTGGCCAGCTGCTTACCTGCGCCATAGCCAGATCCTGCTCCTAGGTGCCCTAGTGCTTCTTCCTTAGTGTCAGTCTCTAGTGAGAGCTTGAAGGTTGACTTCAGCACCATGGGTGTAGTTGAGGTTAAAGAATTAGGAGACAGACCTACTTGGACAAGGAGTCACTAGGCTGTGGCTTTAACAAAAACTCACTTGTAAATACATATCTCTGTATAGCTGTACATAAAAAATATCCTGGAAAATGTTGGATTGAATGAGTCTAATTTACAAGCCCTTTCTCTTCCAGTCTATTATTCACTTCAGTAGCATCAGCTGGATAAATCAATATGCTCTTTCATCAGACTGCGCTGCTCCAGCAAAGAGTAGCAGTCTGCACCACTATCGATTTCTGTGGGGATAAAAACTGTGGAGCTTTCTCCATCCCTTGTAATTACAGTATTTTACACCCAAAGCTGTAGTTTGTGCTTACCACTAACTGGCATTTCTCGTGCAACTCTGCTGTCGCATTTATTCAGACTAATGATCTTGCTAGTACACACATACACTCCCTTATCCAGTAGTTAATATTTTTCTGTTAACATTAAAGGATGAGCAGTCATTAAACTAGAGAGCCTGCAGAGAGACAGCAGGCTGAATTGAGGAGAACAAGCAGCTGTAGTGAAGATTCAGGACTGTCGTTGCTATTTTAAGTTTCCAAATACACAATATTGCCCAGCAGATCCCATTATAACAATTTCATAATTCCCATAATAGCATTAATATGATCTTCTGGAACAAAAATGTAAGTTTAAGAAGAATTGGCTGGTTACCACCCACACTTGTTGCATTATTGCCTCCATAGTTGCATTATTTCCCATTTGAAGTATGAGTACTGAGTGGTAAATACTTCAGAGCAAGGAACAACGCTTTTAAAGGCAGGCACTGCATCTCACAGGGGATTACTATAAATTGAAACACTGCAATTAGCCCCCCACTCATCCTGCCTAATGAATTTGGTGGGTGTTCTGTGTGGGGACCAAAAAGGCAAAGCACTCCACTTTGCTGGCTCAAACTTCAGCACAAGTAGTTCCCTTAACTAGATCAGAAATAATGTTCAAAGCAACATACAAAGGGAAGTGTTTGTTTTGCTGGGGCCAGTCTGAAATGACTGTGAGATCATGTGTGTGGTACCAAACACATGCTAAACTCTCTGGTGGGCCAAATTCTGGTTTGCATTGTGTGTAAAATGGTGCTGGTAATGCAGAAGAGGTTGACAATCTGTGAAGAGAGTTAGCTGTGTTGCATAGTTACACTGAAGGCTTATTACATGAGTTGTGATGTGCAGCTGTCAAGCTCAGAGCACGTCACCTGTGTCCTTTCAGTTGAGGATCTGCAGTGACAGTGTTCAGGTTGATATTGTCCCTGTCCTGAATAAATAAGTACCTAAAGTGTGTAGGCATGAGGCTGGTGCCTGTGCATGCTGGTAAAGCTGCTGATCTTTTCTGAAATCCTGTCAGGGTCAGCACTAACACCGTCAGAAGGAGACAACTAGTGCCCCTTCTTCAGCTCAATCTTGGCTTTAGTAGATCATTGTGATAAAGTGATAAATGCTCCATCCCTGGCAGTGTTAAAGGCCAGGTTGAATTGAATCTTGGGTGACATGGTCTAGTGTGAGGTCTCCCTGTCCAAGGCAGCAGGGCTGGAACTAGGTGATCTTAAGGTCCTTTCCAACCCTAACTGTTCATGATTCTATGATTGTGGCTTTTCATAAAAGGCTGTCTAAGTTGTGTTTTCATTTTTTTCCAAAACAAAGGGTTAGCTATCTTACAATGGTAAGGTAGTAGTGAAGTGTGTGTTGTCAGTTGAGGACTGTGGATTATATAGTTACATAAAGGGTACTGTTGCTCTGAGTAGTAAAACCTGTTTACTTTATACAGTCTCACAATATGGAATAGAAAGCCAATAGGTCCAAAATCAGATTTCCGCTTGTGAATCATTGCCAAGTGTCATCACATCCAGCATGGACTTTTCCTTTCTTGCTTTGGATTTAAATAAATGTGAAAAAACTGAGACATGCTACTCTCACTTAAAGGTTCAAAACATCTTTGCCCATTGTTAGAGACAGCACTCTGGGCTCACTCTGGGGTCACTTTGGTTCTCTCCCTGCACGTAGCTTAAGTCCTTGAACATTCAAATAGAAGATACACCACTTGAGGAAAAGGCACCTATCCTATGGTGAAGTTAGTTGTTATTATCAGACTAGTAATGCCATTCCTTATTAAAAAATAAAAAAATAAAAAAGGCTGTCTTCTAATCAAGAGTGAGTTGACGTGAAATGATGGCAGCAAATTATGTTTTCTGAGCACTTTGAAATCCTCATCTGAAAGGCAGTATGATGTTCGTAAGTTCCCCATTTGCAATGATAGTGCCTAAGCAAGTGAAAAAGATGCTGTTTGTCCTGTTTGTGCATGAAATGGTTAACTGCTGCCCTTTTCCAGTCTCATGCCTGTTTATACACAGGTCTTGAGTAGAAAGTAAGCTTAACCTGATACTAGCATCTGTCTTCCTTCCCAAAACATACGTATTCTGCACATGCCCTACTTGTTTAATGTGACATGCCAGAAACTCTGATGGAATAAGCATTTGTTTCCTTTTTTGGCTTGTTTTGAAAGCAGGTATTCAGAAAAGAATTACAGGGCAGAGCAGTTTGATGAGGACCCCTGTTCCTCCAGAGCAGATTAGT